GATAGAAAGTTTAAAGTGTTTCTGCCCACCAGTCTTTAATTGACATAGCCTGCAATTAGCAATATAGAAACAATTGATCCATTTATGGCACCCTAAAAGGTCCGTACTTCTACAAAATGCAAATTGTAGAATAGTAATACTAAAGTCCATATATATTATGAATCAGATGTGTGACAATATCCAGAAGTCAGCTGTGATACTACACCCACAGCAGTGGTTTCAGATGAAATACCAGTGCGCCTGGGCAAAAGTGGGGTGTTTCATTCATTCTTTTAATTTTTATATTGCCAAATCTTATAAGATTTTCAATTTTCAACAACTTACAAATCAGAATGTCATAGATACTTGGTTAAATATTCTGTTGAAATCAATACTGTGCCTACAGCGATGTTGTAGCATATAAAACACGTAAACAATAAAATATCCATGATAAGCAAAATAACAGTAAAACATCCACAGTAAAAATAAATAAAAATAAAAAGTATAAGAAAATCTTTATTCACTGATGCCTTCAAACCCAAACGGCATCTGAGCAATCAAGCAATCAACCAATCAATGTGAAAGAACACAGTTTTGAGGCTCCTTCATAGTAAAATCAAAGTGGGACCTAGTCTGCCTACAAAAAAAGCAACTTAAAGAACAGGTCATTAACAAAAGTAATGAGTCCAGGAGGACTAAGTCACCAACTCATTTCTGGAAGAATAGTACTTCCCCATCAAGAGAACAGTGTCCTTAAAGGAATTTAGAAATGGCTTTGGGGAAAATATGAAAGTCACTTAGTGGAGACAATAGGAATAATGAAAGAAAACAGAGTCACAGTGAAACAAGTGTGAGAAAGTAATTCAAAACAATCCCATTTTGATTTTCTCTGATGATAGAAGGGAAACAGAGAAACTTGGAGAGGCTTTCAAGGACCTATTACTATATCCTATAAAAACCAATCACTTTCCTGAAATCCTTGCGATGTCAGTTTCTTGACCTGACCTATCTTGAAGGACTGACACAGACTTTAACAGGCACCATGCACATCGGCACAACACTAACAGCATCTCCAGCACAGTCTGAGGTAGTGCTGTAACATTGGACATCATTGATGTATTAATATTACACCCTGAACTGATGGTCTCTACCAATGTAACGGAAAACCAGGAGGAAAAGAAGCTAACCCTGAGACACAACACAAGAGAGCACCACTGGGATGAACTCTCCTTCCATCCACAGCTGATTAAAACCATGTTTTATTCCAAAGAAATTGAACCACTACAAAATAGTAACACCAATCCACATAACTCAACAAAAAAGAGGTTTGCACTCCATAATTCATTCCACTTTGATAAAAAACCATTAAAGACTACTCTTTGAGCACTATGGTATTGGTTTTCATATGCGCAAATACATTCAAGGTATGATGAAGTTCTCAAAACAGAAGGATTTTATGACAAATTGACTGACTTAGATAAGATTTTGACAGGTACTGATGAAAAGGTGATTAAAAAATTGTATGGTTATTTATTGGAAACTAAACTAGAAGAAGAACAAGTTAAAGAAACTATGATTGCTTGGGGGAAGAATTTTGGATATGGGATTGATCTAGAGAAATGGCAAAAATTGTGGATTCAAAACTGTTGAAATCAATATTGTGCCTACAGCATCTGCACATAAAAAAATGTGGGAAGTTGCCTCATAAAAAAAATGTAGGGATAATCTTCCCAATTTTTGATCATACTGACAGATTTGTAGTTCCCCATATCCTTCTTTTCCCCCTTTCTAAAGATACAACAATCCCTCCGTCCCATCAATTTGCCTGACACTTCTTCTGTTCTCTAGGGTTTCTCAAAGATACTTCGGAAGTGTTCAGCCAGATC